ATATATATACTACTTTTAATGCAAACATGCATTAAAAGGCACCTTTCAGGCTATTTTCTGCAATTCCCTTGTTTTTACTTCAGGTGTTCGGGTTTCTCAACTTCGTCCTTTGGGCTGGAAACATCTGGTTTGTGTTCAAGGAGACCAGCTGGCACAAGGGTTCTTCAAGACTCACAGGCGGTGCCTCTGAGAAACAAGCCGGCACCTTTGCCCAGCAGCCTTACAACCAGGGAAGCTTTGACCAGTCAGGGAGTTACAACGCCCAGGGAAACCTGGACCAGCCGTCTGAATACAGCCAGGTGGGGGGTCCCACCTCCTACTCCAATCAAATGTAGCCGTGCTCGTCCTTTAGTGAGTGGCACCTCTGCGTCTGTAGACAAATGCAATCAGAAGCTAAGTAATGAGAAATATGGAAGGTTTGTCATCTGTTGACTCAAACAAATGAAAAAGTACAAGCTCTTTCAGGGTACATTCATCACAGATATGAGTATTGTTGGGTATTATAAAAAAATAGATGTAGTCTTTTACTCCTTCCACCTTGTACTTGTTGAATATTGTATTTCTAGTACTTTAAAACCCATTAGTGACAATTTCTCTGTGTTTGAATATTGACATACACTGTTTTGACCAGATGTCTTTCCTAACCTAGTTTGCACTCCGTATCTGAGGAACAAAGTGCTCTTCATCTAAGTTTTAAAGTGCATGATGTTGTACTGTTTGTGTGCTACTACAGTAAGCTCTCAGTGAAAAGAGGTTAAAAAAAACATGCATTTTAACTTGTGAAAGTTTACATATTTGTCTCTGCTCTGACACATCACTGATAAATTATCAGGTATTACATCCTTTTTTTCAATCTTAACAGGGAACACGTTTTGATAATGATTATGTCGAATTCCAATAGAAATCAGAAAATAATTTGAAGATGTAACAGTTTTGTTTGTCGCATTTTAATATTTCTTAACTGACATTTTGTTTTTCAAASAGTTTCAGTCCACAAATTTAAAAATATTATTTAAAAAAAAGAACTTTCCAAAAGTATTCCGCAAAACATGCCACACAGGATTTGTGCAAGAAAAGAAAAATGTATATGCAACCACTGCAGCCTGCAGTTTCCATATCTTTACCTTGCACAGATTCCATTTGCATTGTTGTACGTGAATGGCTTTTGTGTGTGTGTGTGTGTGTGTTCAAGAAGCCACCGTGGCTGTTTTCTATGCCTCCCTGAGACTGCTGTGAAATTATAAAAATCAGTTCTGCTTTTCTACAGCATGTTTAGAGCATCTATATATTGTTAAAGCCCAGCAAAAGCACAAAAGTACCACGGTTGTAATAGAAAAATATGAAAACATGGGTTTATCTGTACACAAGTAACAGTATTCAGTTTATATTATAAAAAATATGTGTAGTTCATGTATAAAGTTATTGAATGAAAATCACTCGGTTATTGTTAATTTAAAACAACTCAACATCCCCAGCCCTGTGTTTTTGACCCTCTGTKCCTGTCTGCATTTGTGTAATAAGTGAACATTCATGTCTCGTAAAGTTGTCTGCCGCTGGTGACTGATATGTACAGGTTCATGATGTTATTTTGCAGGAMGCCACAATATTAAAGATGTACATACTTGCTTGTCTTTCTGTGTGTCTTCTTAAATCTGACCTGTTGCTTTGGTTTCCAAAAGAAAAGAAGAAACAAAGAGGAATGCAGTGCTGTTGATATCGGATTACACCATTCTCCTGCCTCCTGTTTTTGCCACAATAAACTTGGAGAGGAACAGGATTTCACGCAGATTTTCATGTCAACTATGAAGTGAAAGTGGATGGTCATAGCAGACAGGATGCTTGGATTTGTAAAACACTGGTTTAGGTTGTGACTCAAGGGTCCTGAGTCAAACAAGGGGATCTCAGGAGGGAACAGTCTTTAGGTGAACAACACAAGGTGAGTCTATGTTTACAATGTTCTTGTCATGATAGTTSGTCCTAATTTGAGAGGTTTTTACTGATGCGTTTCTTATTTTTAGGCCCAGAGCCTGCGGTGGTTGGAATCCAGGTTCAAAGAAGGAGAGAGGTGTCCCAGGTCCGTGGAGTTGGTGTAGGAGGAACCGGTGGAGAGCATGCAGGCCACAGGCCAGTGGCAATGTTAGCCTAGGGCCGTGCAACTCCTGCTAATCCTTCCTTGTGTCAGTCGTGCTTGAACAGACACGCAATCAGCAAAAATATTTGAGGYTCCCATTGGTCGAGTTGKCGAAGTCATGCCTTCTCGCACTGCTGACCCAGGCAGATGAGAGCTGAGGAGTCAATCGACACCAGGCAGGAAAAGTTGTAAAGATACTTGAAAATGACTCAACTGGACACTTTTTTTTGCTGGCAACCTGAGAAGACATACTGGAGAGACAGCACTGATCACTTTTTCCAAAGCTGACCATTGAAAGCATCTTAGTGGGTGAATTTCACTATATTAGCTCTCTTTAGCTTAGCAGCAGAAGATATATTCAAYGGGCAATTCCATATCAGAAGGTTCCTTTAGCAGTCCTTAATTTTAAAATTATTTCAGGGAAATTTATTAATAGAAAATTTTCAGTGTTTTTTTTTTTTATTGAAGATTACATTGTAGCAGTTCAGTGCAAGGAGGATGGAGAGAAAGGGAGTGCAAAGCAAATAAGAAGGCGGGAGAGAGAGTGCCAGCGCAAGACCTGGAACAAGCTGGTGAGAAAACTTTTKAAAGGCAAAAAACTCTTCGTTGTTAAGATAAAAAAAAAAGTTAAGTCCCTCGTTGAGTGCAGCAGCAGTCACACTGATCGGAAACACCTGAACTGCTTCTTCAGCTGTAAAGACTGAGGTGCTGTGTTGCAGCAGAGAGGGAGTTAYTGGGTCTAACAAACCCCGGCCTCCTGGATTTTTTAGTTCAGCTAAGTTTGATTAGCACACCTATAATGTTACATTGCAATATATATGTATTAGCTTGGTGCTAGCGCGAAAGTTGACAGGCTAAACTGAGGTGCTCCAATTTATGAAGCAGCTCTATTCTCCTCCATCCACATTTTCAGTGGCAGGCTGAGTCATTTCTACATTCTCCCCTCTGTTAATGAAGGCGCTAGTGAAACCTAGTGAATGTTATCATTTACCTGGAATCCTTTAAAAATTGGCTCTGTTCGTGTGAAAATATACTGTATATACACATACATATGTCAGAATCAGGTTTATTGACCAAGTATTTTGACACACACAAGGAATTTTTTCCAGCAGTTTGTGTGTCTCTAGTATCAACACTGTACAGACACTTAACATAAAATTCACACACATTACACAATATAGAGAAAGATTCACATTATACTTCACTTAACCAAAAACTATATGACAGCAGTATTCAAAGTTAATATTAAGTAATTATACGACAGCAGCAGTGTAGAGGTAGATGATTATGAATAAGGTGCAGTAATGCAGTAATGTAGAAAAAGAGTGATATTATAGCTCTCTGTAGTATGATCTGATGGATGATCAGCTGTTGATGATGGTGATGGCCTGGGGGAGGAAACTGTTCTTKTGTCTGACAGTCTTAGTGGACAGAGTTCTGTAGGGTCTGCAAGATGGGAGGAGGTGGAACATGTTGTGACCCGGGTGAGTGGAGTCTGTGATGATTTTCTCAGCCCGTTTCCTGGTTCTTTCRCRATACAAGTCCTGAATGGAGGGCAGTGAGGCCCCAATGACTTTCTCAGCCRTCCTCACTGTACGCTGAAGCCTGTTCCTGTCCTGCCTTGTGGCTGCTCCAAACCAGACTGTTATGGATGTGCACATGATGGACTCAATGACTGCAGTGTAGAACTGGATCAGCAGCTCCTGAGCTGGCATAGGAAGTACAGTGTCTGCT